CAAGACCAATGTTGCTACTGCACTCGTGCTGGCTTTGTTGTTCCTTCGAAGGTCAAGCTTCTTCAACAACTGCAAGGTCCGAACAATAGGACTTGCAAGATCAACTTGTAAGAGAGTTGACCTACCCCCTTTTAATCAATAAGTTTGATCAAAAGTAATATCCTTCAACGTGGTGTGGTGCTTGAGGCAAGGAAACCTTCAAGTGTTTGCACTATAGCTCTTTGGAAGGAGGAGGAGTTTGCTTCTGGATAAGGAGTTTAGAAATCTCTCTTTATCAAGCTTTATGGGCTAACTGTGAATGAGATAGCTTTGTTGTTAGAGATTGCTTCGTTGTGTTGTTGTATCTCATCGTATCTTCTCCAGTCTTCCAAGGATGCTATTTATAGCTGGATTGGATAATCTATTCGTTGAATCATAATAGACTATCCGTTGCATTTGCTGGCTTCAATTTTGAATGAAGATTGTGATTTGAAGATTCCTTGTTGAAGTGGGTGTTTGGACGTACCCAATTGTTGAGGAAGGATTCCTTTTTCCACAGAATCCGTCTTCTAGCTGTTGTTCAAGAATTCAAGACTGTAGCACTTTACTCTGTTTGTCTTCTAGTGCTTGTTTAGGAATTCTGGGCAGGCTCTTTAATTTTAGAGGTCCAGACTTTGTCTTCGAGTTATTTGTTCTTGAATCAGCATAATTATCTTCAATCTAGCCGTTGAAAATCAAGAGATTGATTTTTCCTTACCAACGGGTAGAATTTCTTCATTCAAGACTTAGATAATTTTTCTAAGTCTTTTCTCACTTGTCCGCTTTTTGAGAATTCCGGTCTTCAATGAGTCTTCCGATTCTTAGCTGACAAATCCGGAGGAGTCATTCTCAGACTTCCGGGTGAGAAAGAGATCCGCGCTAGTCTTCCGATTTGGATGACTTAGCCTTCAGCGGGTTGTAGCGAGACATCCGGTTCTTATGTAGTGTAACACCCCAATTCGTATAACCCGGAATTATAGGAATTAAGGTAAAACGAGAGAAATATTTTTAAAATACTTCCAAATCATTAAATAAAATTGATAAGACAAAAATTCAAAATATAACATATTAAATTCGGATCGATCCTTTTACAAAATGTCGGAGATAGCGAAAGACTAACAATAATACAAATACAATGATGTGGGTCGAACCCAAAACTTCAAATGCAAAACTTGTGAAAATCATGCATGTCAACCTGCCATCCTATCGTCTCTTCGTCCTCCGGGTGGTTCACATAATCTGTGCTTCAACCTATGTGTAGACAAACAGACTACACGCTCAGCATAAAGCTGAGTGGTACGATAACGCGAGAGATCGATAACATATTTATACTTAAATACCATGCATCACATTGGCCACATAATTTCATGCTTGCATTGTACACATCACAAGATACAAGAAACACATATACATATCATGAAGATTCATTTTGGAATATTGTCCAAACATTAATACCTTGGCCTTGTCGTCGACGGTGTTGGATATGAAGTACGGTACGTTTTACAATATCACATACAATTTGATAATTGAGATTTGTATAATTACTTACAAGCGATGCAATGTCAAATGATTCATGATGCATGAGTTAGACTACGCAGGGACACCCCTGCCCTTCGGTGATCATCCCCACGCGGTAGATGAGCCGAGGAACGACTTAGTCATCCTGTTGGAGACTAGCAATGTGGGTGATAGCCAAGCCTAGCTACCATGTACGTACACAAGCCCTCGATATGTGAACCCATTGGACCCCGTAGGTTTCGGAACGGGCCCGCGGAAGAGGCGCACTGGGCCTGACCTCTTGTCGCGGTATGCAAAGTATGCCATGATCCTACACATGTGTCTAGGATATACTTGATGTTATGAATGCATTGCTTGATGAATGGGGTTAAGTTCAACGCACACATATAAGTAAAATTCCGTATGATAACAATTTGTTCAATATGATGGCCTTAAGTTCAGAACTGGCTAATAACCGATTATCCATTGTTGATAATCGATTATCATGCTGTGCAGCTTCTGTTCCTGAAGTTCCGCAAACTGTTATAGTCGATTGTCACCTTATGACAATCGATTGTCTTGTTGGTTTGTCCAAGTAACCCAAGTTCATAGAGGCCTGACTTATGATCCCGAAGGCTTATATTGAAAGCTAAGTCTCGGTTTTTAATCCATATTTCAGCTGTTGATTCTTACCTTGAAAGCATTTTGATTTCGGATCTTTCTAAAAATTCAGCAGTCCCTGATAATCGATTATCACTCGTTGATAATCTATTATCAAACTTCTGCAGCCTCTGATAATCGATTTTCACTTGGTGATAATCGACTATCAAATGTTCCGCAGCCTCTGATAATCGATTGTCACTCTGTGATAATCGACTATCAGAGTTCAGCAGCACCTGATAGTAGATTATCAGAATTTTGACAGTCTACTATCACAGTACTCGGGTTTTACTTTGGTTTGTCGAATTACGTCCAACCTTTTGGAAACTATAATGAACATTCAAGATTACAATATATCCATATATGTAGTATATATACATGCCAACGGATTGATAGGTGTTTAATTTAACGAGTGTCATACCATATATCTTTATAACGAGAAAAACTACAATCATATGGTTTCAACGAAGGTTATGCCAAGTAGTAGAGCATATAAAGTAACAAATACACATTCGTTCATTTAGGTACAACACATATATTTGGACATGGATTTACGTATTCATGTAATCGTCTAAATATGGTCTAGGTGTTTTCCAACTTGTTCTTTCACATGTCAAATGTATACACATATACGTATCTAGTGATGCTATTACAATATTCATTGGTATTTCCTCAAGCCTAAACATACTCTTCATAATCTAACTGTTCTTCCACTTTTATTCTACAATCCTTATTGTTTACATTGGAGTCAAACATCCTTTTAGCCTTGTATAATCATTCACTTTCATAACGGTTGGAATCCTCGTTGTTCTCTATGCAACGTTGATAGATCAAAATATATCATGATATGAATCTATATACAAATAATCAAATAAACAACAAACGTATTCGCATATAAATATATTAAAGATTCCTCCGTTATATCTAGGGTGTACATACCTTGGATACGACACAACGTCAGAAGAGTCCGAATGAATCAACGTCAACAAACGGTTGTCAAACCGTTGACCTTCCGACTTCCCAACGGCTTCTTGAGTTCCGTTTCTTCTCGAGAATATGTTATACGGGTTGCGAAGAGTCGGCACGCATTCAACGAGTAGCGGATTGGATGGGACGAAACGAGAACGGAGGCAGAAATTGCAAACCTCGCGTTTTCCGTCGCCGCTGGACCAGTTTTGGTAAAACGGCCGTATCTACTTCGTTACTCGTCCGATTGACGAACCGTTTGCGGCTATGGTTCACCAACTCGCAGGGCTACAACTTTGGTTAAGAAACCATGACCAAACAGCGAGTTTAAGATGGTCGAAATTCAGCCCAAAGTGGGCTGACGGGATTTTGCTTACAGAAATCAGCAGCTCCTCCTTCCTCTTCCTCTTCTTCTCCTCCGTCGACCTTCCTCCGTGGTGTTGCTGCTGGCCGATACACAAGAGAGGGAAGATGGAGAGATGTGTGTTATGAATTTGGAGGGGTTACAATTGATGAGAGAAGGAAAATGAAGAGAGAAGGAGGTTTATATTGAGGGGATGAATGGGGAGTTAATTGGTTACTAATGGGGAATTAAAGGGAGAATTGAATGGGGAGTTATGGGAAATGAAGAGTGTGGCGTGTGATATGAATTAGGAGTTACCTCCCTAACTCACTCTGTTGTGTAAATTCTGACCTGAACGGTATGCGTTTTTCCCCCGAACTTGCCCGAATTGGAAACCGATTGCGTTTCCAGAAATAAACAGTCAAAATTAAATTTATGACATCTTCAAACTATTTTTCTAAAAACTTTATTTTCAACTTCCGGATCTATCTCAATCATTAATTAATTTATTTAATTAATTAATGTTGAGAGGTCCGTTATTAAAATATATTAACTTTGGACGCCCATTTAATGAGATCGAAATCTCAATATTTATCACTTAAAATAATGAGTCTCAATAAATAAATAATATTTATTCATTTAAAAATATTGGCTAAATATTAGGCTGGTTTGTGGGGCGTTACATATAGTCTTCCGAATCAGAGGATTTTCATCTGCTTGAGAAATCCTTACTTGTCTCTGGCATTTCCGATCAAGATATCCAATTTCCATATCACTGAATTTGATTAGGTCTTCAGGCCTCAAAACGCTTAAAGAAATATCACAACTTTATTGGAAATCTCAAGAACTCGGTTTTAACAATATTTCTAAAAAGAAAAATTACATTGAATATTGGGGGAGACCTAAAGTCCCTATTACATTCTAAATACATCATCATCAAAATCTATAATATTTTTCCCAACACGTGTGTATAATTGTTTCGTGGTTGGAAAATTAAAGATGATTTTTTGGAAAATATGTACTGGAATGTGTTTGCAAAGTACATTCTTTCTCGAACGTGATCGATGATGTGAGTTTATAGCCGACCTTATGCATTTGTAATAAGCATCATAAAATAAATATTACCCGAGTATAATTTTTTATCTAAAAACTTTAATTTTTTTTATTATCT